AGTAAAGGCAGAGTCCGGGGAAAAACATCAATTAAATTCGAGTGGTGCAGATGAGTAAAGGGAGACCAAAACAATCTCTCTATTGCGACTATGGGCGATAACATAAAGAACGCCGAAACTTAAGCGGCTGAAAATCGACGCCGACATGCCCCAGTCGGTGTCTGCTTGACTCCACATAGAGGGCGCCTATTGCCGATCCCTTTAAGTTAGCGTTGCATTGATCTACTGTTGTCTAGTCTGCCTACATCTACCGTATCTAGAATCTAGTTCTAGGTCTTGAACGATTACAAATTGACAAAAATGGACTCGCCATCCGAGAGGGGGAGAGGGAGAGGAGGAGATAAGATAAGATAGATAAGATAAGATACATCTTTATTGTCCAGATCCTGGCACATTGGTTTGGTGTTCCACCACGAGTACACACACACACGTACACACGTACACACACACACGCGCACACACACACACACACACACACACACACACACACACACACACACAAACACACATGTACACACGTGCACACACATGCACACACAGGTAGGCTTACAATCACATGCATAATATAAATGAGCAGCAATATAAACAATAATAATCGTAAGCTAGATACACACTCAATGTTATTTTGATGCATGCTCTAAGGTCGTAAGTATACTTATACAAGATGGTTAAGATGGAAGCATTTTGATAGATGATGGTAAAAATGACCTTCTGTATCTTTCTTTGTTACAGATCAGAAGCATAGGTCTTTTACTTCTGACTATTGTTTTTATTTGAGGGAACAAGGGATGTTTGTTGTCTAAAAAGATGGGGGGGCTCTCGTGGCCTAGATCTAGAGGTTAAGGTGTTGGCCTCTCATTCAAAGGTCCCGGGTTCGAATCCGGGTAGCGACCGAAATTTTTTTTTCTTCTAAAATTGTCTCCTTTCACCTCCTTTCCTGCTCTTAAGCAATATTCTGTCGTCTGCTTTCGTCTCCTCTTTCTGCCCCCATCCCCTCACCTCTTTTGCCCCCTCCTCTGGGCTCCTGACTCTTTCTGCAGCCTTTCTACTGCTACTCCTTGACTCCTTCTTACAGCTGTCTTTCTGCCACACCCCTGATCTTCTGGTAGGAAAGATCTACACCTAGCCTTCTCGGACAAGGGCGAAAATTCTCGGAGGTCCCGTGTGCAAGTTGCGCACGTTAAAGATCCCTTGGTGGTCTAAAATCGATAAGAGTAGGCTTCGGCCGCCACCCGGGCAAAATTCAAAATTTCCTACCAACTAAAAGTATTAGGTGTGTCCCGCGCGCTCATATGACCTATGCAGTTGCGAGCGCCGTAAAAACACTTACCAAAACAAACAAACAAAAACAATAAAAAGATGGAATTAATTTTCTTAGAGGGGGAGGGAGAGAGAGAGGGGAGATAGGGGGAGAGAGATGAAGAGAGAGAGGGAAAGAGGGGGAGGGGGAGAGGGGGAGAGGGAGGGAGGGAGAGAGAGGGGGAGGGAGAGAGGGAGGGAGGGAGAGAGGGAGGGAGGGAGAGAGAGAGGGTGAGAGGGAGGGTGAGAGGGAGGGAGAGGGAGAAGGAGAGAGACAGAGGGAGGGAGAGGGAAGGAGGGAGAGAGAGAGGAGAGAGATTATCTTCCCGTGTCAGCTAGAATGTCGTATAAAATTGCAATATTATGTCATAAATGTGTCAATAACAAAGCTCCCTCATATCTTAGTGATCTCATCCTGATTTATGTTCCATCTAGATCACTAAGATCAGACGATCAGTATCTTTTAAGAGTTCCTAGAAAAGGGGGTAAAGAATTAGCTGAAAGATCATTCGCCCACCTTGCTCCGTCAGTTTGGAACTCTCTTTCCCAACCCTTGAGACATACAACATCTGAGTCTAAATTTTTAAAAATATTTAAAGACACATTTAAAGACATCTTTTTTTTTGGTCTGTAGATTCATGTTCAATTAACAATGTTATGTAAATGACTATGTATCCATTTATGT